CCCCTGCCCCTCCTCTCTTCACTTTGGCCCAGAGCAGCAGTTGGTGCAGGGGGGAGGGGGTCCCCAGCTGATGACATATGCAGGAGACAAGGTGGAACTGTCCCCTGCCCCCTCTCTTTTCACTCTGGCCCAGAGCAGCAGTTGGTGCAGGGGGGAGGGGTCCCCAGCTGATGACATATGCAGAAAGCAAGATGGAACTGTCCCCTGTCCCCCTCTCTCTTCACTTTGGTCCAGAGCAGCAGTTGGTGCAGGGGGGAGGTGTCCCCAAGTGATGACATATGCAGGAGACAAGATGGAACTGTCCCCTGGCCCCCTCTCTCTTGACTTTTGCCCAGAGCAGCAGTTGGTGCAGGGGGACGGGTCCCCAGCTGATGACATATGCAGGAGACAAGATGGAACTGTCCCCTGCCCCTCCTCTCTTCACTTTGGCCCAGAGCAGCAGTTGGTGCAGGGGGGAGGGGGTCCCCAGCTGATGACATATGCAGGAGACAAGGTGGAACTGTCCCCTGCCCCCCTCTCTTTTCACTCTGGCCCAGAGCAGCAGTTGGTGCAGGGGGGAGGGGTCCCCAGCTGATGACATATGCAGAAAGCAAGATGGAACTGTCCCCTGTCCCCCTCTCTCTTCACTTTGGTCCAGAGCAGCAGTTGGTGCAGGGGGGGAGGTGTCCCCAAGTGATGACATATGCAGGAGACAAGATGGAACTGTCCCCTGGCCCCCTCTCTCTTGACTTTTGCCCAGAGCAGCAGTTGGTGCAGGGGGACGGGTCCCCAGCTGATGACATATGCAGGAGACAAGATGGAACTGTCCCCTGCCCCTCCTCTCTTCACTTTGGCCCAGAGCAGCAGTTGGTGCAGGGGGGAGGGGGTCCCCAGCTGATGACATATGCAGGAGACAAGGTGGAACTGTCCCCTGCCCCCCTCTCTTTTCACTCTGGCCCAGAGCAGCAGTTGGTGCAGGGGGGAGGGGTCCCCAGCTGATGACATATGCAGAAAGCAAGATGGAACTGTCCCCTGTCCCCCTCTCTCTTCACTTTGGTCCAGAGCAGCAGTTGGTGCAGGGGGGAGGTGTCCCCAAGTGATGACATATGCAGGAGACAAGATGGAACTGTCCCCTGGCCCCCTCTCTCTTGACTTTTGCCCAGAGCAGCAGTTGGTGCAGGGGCACGGGACCCCAGCTGATGACATATGCAGGAGACAAGATGGAACTGTCCCCTGGCACCCTCTCTCTTGACTTTTGCCCAGAGTAGCAGTTGGTGCAGGGGGGAGGGGTCCCAACTGATGACATATGTGGGAGACAAGATCGAACTGTCCTATGGCCCCCTCTCTTTTCACTTTTGCCCAGAGCAGCAGCTGGTGCAGGGGGAGGGGTCCCCAACTGATGACATATGTAGGAGACAAGATGGAACTGTCCCCTGGCCTCCTCTCTCTTCACTTTGGCCCAGAGCAGCAGTTGGTGCAGGGGGGAGGGGTCCCCAGCTGATGACATATGCAGGACCAAGATGAAACTGTCCCCTGGTCCCCTCTCTCTTCACTCTGGCCAGAGCGGCAGTTGGGGGGGGGGGGGTGTCCCCAAGTGATGACATATGCAGGAGACAAGATGGAACTGTCCCCTGGCCCCCTCTCTCTTCACTTTTGCCCAGAGCAGCAGTTGGTGCAGGGGAGAGGGGTCCCCAACTGATGACATATGCAGGAGACAAGATGGAGCTGCCCCCTGGCCCCCTCTCTCTTCACGATGCATACACTATTCTAAATCTTGATATTTAGCATCTCTTGTTTTAAATGTTTACAGTCTTGTCATAATCAGAGACCTATAGCGTATTTATTTACCTTGTTTGTAAATTTGGCTCTGACTTTAAATCTCGACCTCCTGCCACACCATTCTGTAATGCTATGTGGCAGGAGGAGAAAATAATGAGTAACTTTGCTGTCCTGTTTTAGCTCCCACCAAACACATCTCTCACCATACCTGCATTTCAAGTAAACAAGCACAGGCTAAACCACCTGGGGACCTTGCATAGCATATAACTATTTTGCTATGGTTCCCATTGAGTCCTGATTTATGCAGTGTAGTGGAAAACATTTAGAGAGATATTTAAATGCAGAGTTTTCCAAACCTTTCATGTCAGTAACACATATTTTAGACATGTATCCTTTTGTGACCCGGTAATTCATTTTTACAGGCAAACTGGAGATTAAACCAACTCCTTATAAGTGTTTCATACAAAATATTTGTTTTACCGTATAAACAAGCTTTGGATTTTTTTCCTCTACACTTATGTACAACAGTTGATTCTTGTGCAGTTTTCTCTGTAGCCTCTCCACGTGCTTTGTCACAAATATCACTGTTAACAGATTTAATTTTTTACCCATTTAAGTGGAAATGACTGCAACTCAATTAACAAATTGTGCAAATATGTGTTGTCAAAGTCTTTCATCACTCAGTTGCTGTGAATTTTCCAGGCTGTATGTACCAGAAGCATTCTCTCCTGACATTTCGCCCACATCTATGGCAGGCATCCTCAGAGGTTGAGGGATCTGTTGGAAACTATAGGCAAGTGGAGTTTATATATCCGTGGAATGGCCAGGGAGGGAGAAAGAACTCTTGTCTGTTTGAGGCAGGGTTTTTTTGTCGTGTCAGGAGCGACTTGAGGACCTGGCGTCCCTCAACTAGCTCCTCTCAATCCCTTGCAGCTCTATTTTTGCAGCTCTCAGTAGAAATTGTAACTCTTTGGATCCCTTGCAAAGTTTTAGGAAGTGTTCATGTTTCTCCAGGGTGAGCAAGTGCAGAAGGAAGCGAAAATTTGATTTTTCTGAAAAAGCCTCCAGCCCATGCCCAGCTAGAACCAAGGCTCTCTGATTTGTACGGGCATGTTGTCCTTGTGTGACACAAATGCCCCAAAATCCAGGGGTGAAAGAGAAGTGTTCTGTTGCGCGCTGGGCCTGTAAATAATTGTCTTTAAATAGGACGTGTGACTTTGCCCAGCGGGAAGCCAGGGGGCCCAAAGAGAAGTTCTCAGAGATTTTCCACCACAAATGATCTTTAGATGGCTTATGAAGTATAACAAAGTCCTTTATTAATGAACAATCAAACAGAAACTTCTCTTGTCTTCAGAAAGTTAAACAAATGATTCCAGGCTTTCAAGCAACTGGTGGCTGAGGTGTTCCAGTAAGTTTCTCTGTAGATCTTATAAAACTATTTCTTGATTTAATTCGTTGACATGCTGGCTGATACCCAAACAGGGGGAGGGCCGGAGATGTCACTGCCTTGGTCCTTTCACTATTGGTTGCTACTTCCCGGCGTATGTCAGTTGGTGCAATACCAGCTAAACAGTGTAATTTCTCCAGTGGTGTAGGGCGCAGACACCCCGTGATAATGCGGCATGTCTCATTAAGAGCCACATCCACTGTTTTAGCATGGTGAGATGTGTTCCACACTGGGCATGCATACTCAGCAGCAGAGTAGCATAGCACAAGGGCAGATGTCTTCACTGTCTCTGGTTGTGATCCCCAGGTTGTGCCAGTCAGCTTTTGTATGATATTGTTTCTAGCACCCACTTTTTGCTTGATGTTCAGGCAGTGCTTCTTGTAGGTCAGAGCACGGTCCAGAGTGACTCCCAGGTATTTGGGTGCACTGCAATGCTCCAGTGGGATTCCTTCCCAGGTGAACCTCAGAGCTCAGAATGCTTGTCTGTTCTTAAGGTGAAAAGTTGGGAGATCAGGATTAATTGAGATGATCCCTTCCAAATCTCTGAGGCTCTGGACACATGCACTTGGACCTACTGCATTGCTTGGAGCAAGACAGGGAGCAAAGGTGTCTTCCTAAGTTGCAAGCCTTCCTGTTGCACAACTTGTGGAAGCAGCAGTGCAGGACACTGGAGGAAAGATGATCAAAACTTCCATATGTCCCTAGAGGCTTGAAAACGCCCCACATATCATGTATTCATAAGACTGCACAGGATGTGAAACCTGGTAGGAAGGATAGCAATAATTACATACCCCCCCCCCAATCCCACAATGCTTTTATTCCTCCCCTTTCCTGTCTCTGGGTTGCCATATTACTTGGTTAAGCAGGTTTTGTCCAATCACAAGTGTCTGGTCCATCTTGCTTCAGATTTGGCCCCGATAGCTCAGGAAAAAATAGTGAAGAGTAGAGACATCACACTGGCAACAAAGATCCACATAAAGCAATGGTGTTCCCCATAGTCACCTACAGATGTGAGAGCTGGACCATAGGGAAGGCTGAGCGAAGGAAGATAGATGCTTTTGAACTGTGGTGTTGGAGGAAAGTTCTGAGAGTGCCTTGGACAGCGAGAAGATCCAACCAGTCCATACTTCAGGAAATAAAGCCTGACTGCTCATTGGAGGGAAGGATAGTAGAGGCAAGATGAAGTACTTTGGCCACATCATGAGAAGAAAGGAAAGGAAAGACAATGATGCTGGAGAAAATGGAAGGAATGAGAAAGAGGGGCCGACTAAGGGCAAGATGGATGGATGGGATCCTTGAAATGACTGGATTGACCTTGAAGGAGCTGGGGGAGGTAATGACGGCCAACAGGAGTTCTGGCATGGGCTGGTCCATGAGGTCACAAAGAGTCAGAAACGACTGAACAAATGAACAACAACAAAAGCTCAGGAAAAGGGATGCTTCTGAACATAATTGTATATGTGTGTGGTTGTGTGTATATGCTGTGTATGTGAGTATGCATGTATGTATTTAAATTTATTTGAATGCTGACTCACCTCAGAATATTTTTTTCTCTTTGAATAAATGGAAATTTCACATATGGAAGATTTGTATTGAATATTTATGCTGAATGTTTCTGTTAAATGTTGTGTTTATTTACAGTGCCACGTTTTTTATATTAAAATATTACTTTTGTATTATTTTCTCCATATTTTTCTTAGAGGTAAAATAATTTTCTCTTAACATTTATTTTTTCTCCTCTCTTTATAGCTTGATGACTCTTTCAATGTAACCTCTTTTCCATCTTTCCCACCAGGGCAAAGTTTAGGCTACGGCTTTGTCAATTATGTTGACTCCAACGACGCTGACAAAGCAATCAACACATTGAATGGCCTCAAACTACAGACGAAAACAATCAAGGTGAGGAGAGTGGGCTCAGAAGTTGGTCATAAAATGAGTGCAAGAAGGGAAGGCAGATTTGAGTATAGAATCATAGAATAGAATCATAGAATCATAAAGTTGGAAGGGACCTCATGGGTCATCCAGTCCAACCCCATTCTGCCAAGAAGCAGGAATATTGCATTCAAATCACCCCTGACAGATGGCCATCCAGCCTCTGTTTAAAAGCTTCCAAAGAAGGAGCCTCCACCACACTCCGGGGCAGAGAGTTCCACTGCTGAACTCTCACAGTCAGGAAGTTCTTCCTCATGTTCAGATGGAATCGCCTCTCTTGTAGTTTGAAGCCATTGTTCCGCGTCCTAGTCTCCAGGAAGCAGAAAACAAGCTTGCTCCCTCCTCCCTGTGACTTCCTCTCACCTATTTATACATGGCTATCATATCTCCTCTCAGCCTTCTCTTCTTCAGGCTAAACATGCCCAGCTCTTTAAGCCGCTCCTCATAGGGCTTGTTCTCCAGACCCTTTATCATTTTAGTCGTCCTCCTCTGGACACATTCCAGCTTGTCAATATCTCTCTTGAATTGTGGTGCCCAGAATTGGACACAATATTCCAGGTATGGTCTAACCAAAGCAGAATAGAGGGGTAGCATTACTTCCCTAGATCTAGACACTAGACTCCTATTGACGCAGGCCAAAATCCCATATATGAGTTCAGAATCTGCAGAGATTTTCCTTTCTTTTGCCTCATTATGTTTACCCACTATGAACCTTCAGAACAGAATAAGTCACATATAGATCAATATAGATTATGGAAGGACACCAAGTTTGTTGGGGAAAATCTGGAAAATGTTATTACTGTCGAAGGCTTTCATGGCCGGAATTACTGGGCTGTTGTAGGTTTTTTGGGGGCTATATGGCCATGTTCTAGAGGCATTCTCTCCTGATGTTTTGCCTGCATCTATGGCAAGCATCCTCAGAGGTAGTGAAGTCTCTTGGAACTAGGAAAATGGGGTTTATATATCTGTGGAATGATTAGGGTGGGACAAAGCCTGTTTTCCTACTTTCAACAGACCTCACTACCTTTGAGGATGCTTGCCATAGATGCAGGCAAAACGTTAGGAGAGAATGCCTCTAGAACATGGCCATATAGCCCGAAAAAAACCTACAACAGCCCAATGTTATTACTATCTTTTTTTTTGTTACAGTAGCATTAGTAATATGCATGACACTGTTTGAAATAAGTACCAAAAATAACAACTCCTGCCCCAATTTGTACACCTTGGCACAGCAGAAGACTACAGAGGAAGGGAATGAGGGTAAGGGAGGGAATAATGCAGGAAGACTGGTCTGCTCCTACAAGTGATCGTTAGAGTAAAGGGATTGTGTGGTCAATGTGGGAAGCTGACACAAAATGGCTGGTCCTTGCGCTTCTCGGGGACGCTTCTAACTGTGCCTCCACCCTACCTAGGTGTCCTACGCACGGCCCAGCTCAGCTTCTATCCGCGATGCAAATCTCTACGTGAGTGGCCTGCCCAAGACCATGAGCCAGAAAGAGATGGAACAGCTCTTCTCACAGTATGGGAGGATCATCACTTCCCGCATCCTTGTCGACCAGGTCACAGGTAATAATAGCGACAGCAGGACTTTGGCCCTCTACCAGTACCTCTGGTAGGGAAGCAATGCCAAAGGGACCTAAAACAGGGAATAGAAGAAGAAGGAAAACGTTGCACTGCCCATAGGGATTTCAGGGAGCAGAATAAATAACAGCGGAGGCAGTAGTAATAAACTTTATTACGGTCGATGACCAGATCATAACAGGGGGACCCATACATCCATACATCCACATCAAACCCAAAGGGTTATATACTTCAAACTTCAACACATTTTACAATCTAAGCTAAAAACCAGTACAAGGTAGTTATTAAAACCTAACTCAACCCACGGGATCATCTGAAGGTAATCTAAAGAGAGGTTGTGGGAATGGAGCAGCGGAGGCATTTTTGATCGTAAGTAGTATTGCCTGTGAAGCTAGTTTTGTAATGTAACACAATTTTTGTTCCTCGGTTATAAATGTCATTTCCTAATTGGTTCTATCATAAAAAGATGGAAAAAGTTGGTTGGGATATCCTGCAGCACATTTTGCTATAGTTTTTCAATGAATGTTTCATCCAGTCTCAACCAATTCAACATAGTTTGTGGCAGCCACAAAAACTATGTTTCTGGAGTATAACAACTACTTTCAAAGTAAGTACTGTACAATTAAAGAGGAAAAAAAACATTTTTGAACAAGAAACAGATTTTTTAAAATTGTTGTTACCAATAGTGTTGTGCTAAGTTGAATGCATTTAGGCATGGGCTCATGAGCCTATGTAACTCTATCCTGACTCTTCTATATAAATAAAAATGTAATGTTCGTTTGTGGGATTAACATAACTCAAAAACCACTGGACGAATTGACATGAAATTTGGACACTATAAGAATGTCAGGCCAACAAGTGACCATCACACATAAAAACTCTGAAAAACACAGCGGAAGGGACTTAAAAAGCCAAAAAACAATCCAACGAGTGTCCATCACCCCTAAAAAAAAACCACACACACACACAAAACCCCAGCAGAGCAGGCTTTAAAAACTCAAAAATACACCATATATACATATACACATACACTCATATACATATACACACACATTCGTATATATATGCACATACACAAATATACATGTATACACACACATAAATATACACACACACATACACATTACCACACAAATATACATATACACATACATACACACATATATACACACAAATATGTATATAGACAAGCACACACATATACACAATATGCATGTAAACATATAAGCCAGTGGTTCTCAATCTGGGGTCCCCAGATGTTTTTGGCCTACAACTCCCAGAAATCCCAGCCAGTTTACCAGCTTAGGATTTCTGGGAGTTGAAGGCCAAAACATCTGGGGACCCCAGGTTGAGAATCACTGAAACACACAAATACACAAATATATACACACATATATACACCCACACATATATACACCCCACCCCACCCCACACACACATATATATATACATACACGCACGCACACACACACATACACACACATGCATACACAAATATATATACACACACAAAACACATATACACAGACTGGGCCACAGCAACGTGTGGTAGGGGACGGCTAGTTATGCATAAACCCATTCTTATTCTTGTAAACAAATAAAGAACTTCATCAGCTGGGTCCTCTTGTGAATATCAGAAATACTATATTGGGAGGTAAATGCCCTAAAGGCACTAGAGCCTATCTGAACTTGGAAACTAAACAGGGCTAGCCCTGGTTCGTACTTGGATGGGAGACAGCTAATAAATTCCAGGTTCTGTAGGCTATATCATTTTCATTAGAATCATAGAGTTGGAAGAGACCTCATGGGCCATCCAGTCCAACCCCCTGCCAAGAAGCAGGAATATTGCATTCAAAGCACCCCTGACGGATGGCCATCTAGATCAACCACAACTATGTATTCTTTGACTATGAAATTTATGGGGTCACCATACATCAACAGGCAACTTGAAAGCAGATATACACACATACAGAAATACTATGCCCTACTTTTACATATTCTAGGCCTCATCATGTAAAAGAAGTACATCATGTAATTCACGTGCTCCACATTGTCAGTTGTTTGTGCTGTGTGGTCTGCCACTTCGTGGGACATCCTGAATGTTGGCGTGCCCTTTTTCAACAAATAACCTGCGTGTCCAGTGATTAACAGTATTGAGATACTGGTACAGCTGTACCAGGAGCTCCAATTTTGTTTGCTTTGCATTGAATGTTTGTTGTAGTCCTGAGTTTCAGGGGCTCTGCAGATAGGTGGCTTCTTTTGGCTGCAATCATAGGGCAAGCCATCTGTCAATTACCGTTAGGTTAGGGAATAGGAGTCATTTTGGGCCAGTCCACACAGAGAAGCCTTTCATGCAGGACATAAAACCAGGAGTTCCTGTAGAAAGCTTCGTCTTCTAGGGCTTGGCCGGGAGATATACAGCCTTACAGCTTGGCTGGGGAGAAAGGGCCCCGTAGCTTGGCCGAGGATTTTACAGCTTTACAGCTCCTTTGCTGAGGGAATCCGGTCCCACAGCACTTTAGCCAGCCATCACTGAAACCTGAACTCCTTTTTCCTCTGGAAGTCTGCAAAGCTCTGCTTGGTAAGGGTCATTCGCGGAAGCCAGAAGCAGTTGGTAGCGGGTGCAGGGGCTCCACGCCAACAGAGGCAAAGACAGAGTGCCCAGATTAGAAGTTAAGGATTTCCCCATTAGTTCAAATACAGTTTATAAAGATAGTGCCTGTTCCCCGTGGACAAGATTGAGAGAGAGAGAGCCAATAGACTATGAAGAAAGCCTTAAAGTACCTGTTTGATTTCAATAATAAAGAACTTTGTTGAACCTTTAAGCAATCTAAAGACTGTTTTAAGGAAATCCAAAGGCCTTTAATCTGAGGCAGCCCCGGCGTCCCGTTGGGCACACAGAATTTGTGTCCTGTCTACAGTCTTATGTACAGGCCCAGCGTGCGGCAACACAGAGATCGGCAGTGTCATCTCCATAAGGAGCCCCCGGTGGCGCAGTGGGTTAAACCCCTGTGCCGGCAGGACTGAAGACTGACAGGTCGCAGGTTCGAATCCGAGGAGAGCGTGGATGAGCTCCCTCTATCAGCTCCAGCTTCTCATGTGGGGACATCAGAGAAACCTCTTACAAGAATGATAAAACATCAAAACGTCTGGGTGTCCCCTGGGCAATGTCCTTGCAGACGGCCAATTCTCTCACACCAGAAGCGACTTGCAGTTTTTCAAATCACTCCTGACACGACAAAAAAAAAATGGAAATGCACTTCAACCAGAAATCATAATTATTGAGCATTAGACATTAACATGACCATAAGGTATTGAAACAAATCTGGACTTTTGAAAAGCTACAACTTCCAGAACCCCAGCCAGGGTATTCCGGGAGTTGAAATTCCAAAAATTAACTTTTCCAGTTTTGGAAGAATGTGTGATATAGAGAGGATAACTACAGTGGGTTCAGGTGCAACACTTGTGTTCTTAGAAGTCTCTGGGGCCTAGATGAACTTCCTGGAAGCTTCTAGGAAGGATGATCTATTCTAGAAGGAGGGCAGTTCTTGGAGTTGGGAGGAACTGGGGGCTGGGTATAATGTTCGTAGGTACATTTGTCCATCCCACGCCCCCCACCCCGAAAAGCATAGTAACCTACAATACAATTTAAGTGATATTTATCCATCATTTGTCTATTTCTATGTAATTTTTCTTCCTCTCTATACAGGTGTTTCCAGAGGAGTGGGCTTCATTCGTTTTGACAAGAGGATAGAAGCCGAGGAGGCCATCAAAGGTCTGAATGGGCAGAAACCCCTGGGTGCCAGTGAGCCCATCACAGTCAAGTTTGCCAACAACCCCAGCCAGAAGACAGGGCAAGCGCTGCTCACACATCTGTACCAAACCACAGCCCGGCGGTACACTGGACCCTTGCACCACCAGACTCAGCGATTCAGGTGAGACACCTTCCCCGCTCCTTTGCTCATGGGCTCAAGAGGTCAGGGCTGTCTCTTCATCCAGTGCCCCTTATTTCTTAATCCCCTTGCTTGAGAAAGGATATAGGACTCAGGTTCCACGACTAGATGCATTTATCTGTAGCTTTTCTTTGGTAATTGTGAGTTCACTAGCAAGCACAACACCATAATACGTCGTGAAACTCCTTTGCTTCCTCCAGATGCCTCCGTGACATGATCCCATTGGACCTTTTAGATCAGAACTTAGAGGTAACATAGTTCAGGAAAAGATGCTTCCTGCAATAATATTTTGGAGTCGTATGAGATTCATTTTTCCAATTACCATATTTTCTCGAGTATAATGCACACCTCAATTTTGAAGGTGTGCATTACAAAAAAAAATGCTGTTGAAAGTAATGTGAGGCAGTGATGACCGGGAAAAGGCTCCCCTCTGTTAAGACTGGTGAGAAAATAGCGGTGGCAGCAAAAAGGCTGGTGGGGAGCTTCCCGCCAGCATTTTCATGGCCACTGCTGGCTTCCACCAGCCATTTTGCAGCCATCACCATCTCTTTGTCTTCCTTCCCCAGCCAGGATCTCTTGCCACACTATCGAATCCAATGCATATCTCAATTTGGACAATGTAATTTAGCCAAAAAAACCTGTGCATTAGATTTGAGTAAATATAGTATATGAAACGTAAATATAGTATATGATATATAGTATATGAGTAACTATAGTATATGAAACTTTCTCTGTTTTTCTGAGGACAAGAATTTTCCTGGGGTATTTGGAGGGATTTTTTTTTCTTTTTTTTCATGGACTACTGTAACGCCCTCTACATTGGCCTTCCTCTGTCGGTGATCCGGAAGCTCAAGTTGGTACAAAATGCAGCTGCTCGGCTTCTTGCGGGATTCCGATGAGATGCCACATAACACCAATCTTACTACAGCTGCATTGGTTACCAATTGAGCACCGGATCACTTTCAAAGTGATGGTACTCACCTTTAAGGCCTTGCATGGTCTGGGGCCGATGTACCTGAGGGACAGCCTCACCCCCTACCAACCCCAGAGATCCCTCCGTTCTGAGGACCAAGATCTATTGGAAATTCCCAGTGTCAAGACCTTGCGTCTAACAGCAACCAGACGCAGAGCCTTTACAGCAGTGGCACCATCACTCTGGAATACTCTGCCACCTGAAGTCCGTGCCTTGCGGGACTTACCAGCTTTCCGCAGGGCATGTAAGACATACCTGTTTCGACAGGCTTTTAATGTTTGATATTGCTGTTTTTAAATTGTTTTAAATTGCTTTTAAATTTTGTTAGATTTTAGCCATTCTTGTAAGCCGCTCCGAGCCCCAGGGGAGTGGCGGCATATAAGTCCAAATAATAAATAAATAAATAAATTTTTAAAAAAGGATTCTGTCCTCCGCTCCCCCAAAAGCAACAAACAATGAAAATAACAGAGAACAAGTGATGTTTTGACTTCATTGTTATATTGTATATTTTATTACAGTTTGTATTTTTGTATTGTAATTTGTTGTTTGGGCTTGGCCCCATGTAAGCTGCTCCAAGTCCCTGTTGGGGGAGACGGTGGTGGGGTATAAATAAAGATTATCATTATCATTATTATTATTATTATTATTATTATTATTATTATTATTGGAGCCCCCGGTGGCACAGTGAGTTAAACCACTGAGCTGCTGAGCTTGTTGACCAAAGGGTCGCAGGTTCAATTCCGGGGAGCGGCGTGAGCTTCCGCTGTCAGAATTATTATTATTATTATTATTATTATTATTATTATTATTATTATTATTATTCTGCCAACCTAGCAGTTCGAAAACATGCAAATGTGAGTAGATCAATAGGTACCGCTCCAGTGGGAAGGTAATGGCGCTCCATGCAGTCCTGCCGACCACATGACCTTGGAGATGTCTACGGACAACGCTGGCTTAGAAATGGAGATGAGCACCACACCCCAGAGTCAGACATGACTGGACTTAATGTCAGGGGACTACCTTTACCTTTATTATTATTATTATTATTATTATTATTATTATTATTATTATTATTACCCGGTGGCGCAGTGGGTTAAACCACTGAGCTGCTGAGCTCGTTGACTGAAAGGTCGCAGGTGGCACTTGTTAGGATTTGCACTAAACTAATTCCCTAAATTCTTCTTCAGATGACTTCCTGAAATGGGATCCATTGAGTCTTATGGGCTGTGTGTTCTGCTCTGTTTTCTCCCCAAAGACACTGTGGATCAAAGCATCTTTAAGGCATCATGGCCTCTCTTTTCTTTCTCGTCAACCCCTTTCTGTTCTTGAGCTGTGCCTCATATTTTGACCCAATGGGCCACACTATAGGGGAAATGGGAATGATGTCGCCCATTTGCTGTGAATGTGTTCATCCCACTGAGCTGTGGGGGGGGGGGGGGGCACAAAATTATGGCATTTCCGTATCTTTGTTGGGCTAAATTGGGAGTAAAATAAGGTTGTTGTAGGTTTTTTCGGGCTATATGACCATGCTCTAGAGGCATTCTCTCCTGATGTTTCACCTGCATCTATGGCAAGCATCCTCAGAGGTAGAGAGGTCTGTTGGAAAATGGATTTATATATCTGTGGAATGATCAGGGTGGGACAAAGAACTCTTGTGTGTTGGAGCTAGGTGTGAATGTTTCAATTGGCCACCTTGATTAGCATTTGATGGCCTGGCTGTGCCTGGGGCAATCTTTTGTGGAGAGGTGATTAGATGTCCTTGATCGTTTCCTCTCTGTTGTTTTGCTGTTGTAATTTTAGTTTTTTAATACTGGTAGCCAGATTTTGTTCGTTTTCTGTTGAAATTGTCCACATGCTTGTGTATTTCAATGGCTTCTCTGTGTAGTCTGACATGGTGGTTGTGAGAGTGGTCCAGAATTTCTGTGTTCTCAAATAATATGCTGTGTCCAGGTTGGTTCATCAGGTGCTCTGCTATGGCTGACTTCTCTGGTTGAAGTAGTCTGCAGTGCCTTTCATGTTCCTTGATTTGTGTTTGGGCAATGCTGTGTTTGATGGTCCCTATGTAGACTTGTCCACAGTTGCATGGTACATGGTAGACTCCTTCAGAAGTGAGAGGATCCCTCTTGTCCTTTGTTGAACGTAGCATTTGTTGGATTTTCTTGGTGGGTCTGTAGATAGTTTGTATGTTGTGTTTCCTCATCAGCTTCCCTAAGGAAAGATTATAGAAGAATTAAAGAATACAGAAAGATTAGGTCTTGCAAGGGACGACTGATAGATTTTTTTTTGTCATGTCAGGTGCGACTTGAGAAACTGCAAGTTGCTTCTGGTGTGTGAGAATTGGCCGTCTGCAAGGACGTTGCCCAGGGGATGCCTGGATGCTTGCTGTTTTATCATCCTTCTGGGAGGCTTCTCTCATGTCCCCACATAGGGAGCTGGAACCTACAGAGGGAGCTCATCCACACTCTCCCCGGATTCGAACCTGTTGGTCTTCTGTCCTGCCGGCACAGGGGTTCAACCCATTGCACCACCGGGGGCTGATTGATGAGATGCGGTCAGACAACATATGCAGGACCACATGTTCCCCACCTCAATCTGAAAATTACTATGGCAAAATAATTGGCAGTGGTAGGCGCAGTGGAGCTGTTAAACTTGCTGACTGAAAGGTTGCAGGTTCAAATCCGGGGAGCGGCGTGAGCTTCCGCTGTCATCCCTAGCTTCTGTCAACCAAGCAGTTCGAAAACATGTGAGTAAATCCATAGGTACCGCTCCGGCAGGACGGTAACAACACTCCATACAGTTATGCCGGTAACATGACCTTGGAGGTGTCTACGGACAATGCCGGCTCTTCAGCTTAGAAATGGAGATGAGCACCACACCCCAGAGTCGGACACGACTGGAATCCATGTCAGAGGAAAACCTTTACCTACCTTTACCTTAGGCCTGGCTGCTCCAGCTGCATTTTCTACTGCAGATTTTAGCAGCAGCTGATTTCATTTCTGCATTTTAATGCTCAGGAAGGGATTACTATCTGTATAGCTGGAAGGCTCAGTTTTATTGCTGAATCTAGTGCATGTCCAGATTTCTGTCAGGCGTTAGTATCTAGAGAGTCAGCTATCTCAAGAGAGAAACGTTTGTGTTCGTCGCGTGTCAGGGGTGCTGCGTATCTTGGGAAGTAGGCTATAGGGCTGTTGAGAACCCTATGACTTTTCCGCTATGGAAATAATAGATTTCATCTGGAGCAGGAAGACATTTTCTTGCCTTGTTTTGGAAACCTGTGAATTCCATCATCCATTTTCTTTTTCAACCTGTAGATTATTTATTTATTTATCTATCGTGTCATCAGCAACCAGACATTTGTATTACATTTTTAACAAAAACAAACAAACAAACAGACAAAACACAGAATTTGCAAGCTTGGTAGCTGATTAAATGTCCTTTGACCAGTAGTGGCCACTTGGAGTGCCTCTGGTGTTGCCGCAAGGAGGTCCTCCATTGTGCATGTAGCACGGCTCAGGTTGCATTGCAGCAGGTGGTCAGTGGTTTGCTCTTCTCCACACTCGAATGTCGTGGATTCCACTTTGTAGCCCCATTTCTTGAGGTTGGCTCTGCATCTCGTGGTGCCAGAGCGCAGTCAGTTCAGCGCCTTCCAAGTCGCCCAGTCTTCTGTGTGCCCAGGGGGGAGTCTCTCATTTGGTATCAGCCATTGGTTGATTGGTTCTGGGTTTGAGCCTGCCACTTTTGGACTCTCGCTTGCTGAGGTGTTCCAGCGAGTGTCTCTGTAGATCTTAGAAAACTATGTCTTGATTTAAGTCGTTGACGTGCTGGCTGATACCCAAACAAGGGATGAGCTGGAGATGTCTCTGCCTTGGTCCTTTCACTATTGGCTGCTACTTCCCGGTGGATGTCAGGTGGTGCAATGCCGGCTAGACAGTGTAATTTCTCCAGTGGTGTAGGGCGCAGACACCCCGTGATAATGCGGCATGTCTCATTAAGAGCCACATCCACTGTT